TCCTTAAGAATCTATAGATGCCGTCTAGGACCAGCCGCTCGAACCAGCCGCTCCTCTCCTCGCTCATCCGGAAATCAGCCTTTGCCATGACGTGAACAGCGCCGGCGGCCTTTGCTCGCCACAGATCACTTACAAGAGCAGCGCCATCGCCATCGCTATCGAGTTCTTCGTGATCTTCCCGAGAAGCCACGAAGATCGCCAGAGCCTCGATCACGTCGCTCACAAACTCCTCCCCTTCCAGCACGTCCGTGTAGCCATACTGGGCCACGCAGCGGTACACCCCCGCGTAGCCGCATCGCTCCAGGATGAATCTTTCGTCCGGGAGAACCGTCCTGACGGGAACGTAGCGGATGGTGATGAAGACGATCACCTGGTGGAGCGAGCGAACGTTATTTACATAGTGTCTCATGATCGGGGGGACGCCATGAACGAGGTCCGTGTAGAAGAGGCACAGCCCCGGAACTCGCTGCTTGGCCGCTCGAGAGAAGAGCTCGTCGAGGCTGTCCACGGTCACCTTGTTGATCATCTCGTAGTCGGAGATTTTCTCGCGGCCGTGGTGCCAACTAAACATCGCCAAGGCCAGGATGACGGAAATGCCGAAAGGAAACCAGCCACCCTCGCGGAGCTTCGTGAGCACTGACGAGAGGTACACTCCTTCCAAGGTCCCGTAGACTGTGATGTAGACGAGCGCTAGGATCACGGGAGTTCTCCAGATGATAAGCATCACCAGCGTTATGAGTGAAGATGTGATTAGCATCACCCAAATGACTGCCACACCTGGAAGAGAATCTTGTGTTGGATGAAAGAAAGACCAGAAGGTTTTGCGTACCAAAAGCATTGCCAATCTCTGGACCACCTTGGAATCCAAAAAGCACGGCCAGGCAGAGAACCATGAGACAATAGTTAACTTGGGGAGAGTAAACCTGGCCTTCCTTGTCTTGAGAGGTGTGAACCATGGTCACCGGAGGGAAATAGTCGAGAGCTATGGATTGCTTGATGATGGAGAACGCAGCCGAGATGAGTCCCTGGCTGGCGACTATAGCCGCCAGCGTCGACACCACGAACATCGGCCAGTATATGGAACGAGGAAGAAACTTGTAGAATGCCTCTCGGTGGTCGCCTGGATGTCTCACCAGGTATGCCGATTGTCCGGCGTAAGTTAGCAGCACCGAGGGATAGATCATAAACGCGAAAGCAACCTTGGGAGACAAAATCAATCGTTATCATCGATACGATGGTATAAAACTTTCGCAAAGCTTACTTGGATGGAGGACTTTGTGAAGTGTCCAAGGTCTGCAAACATTGCCTCGGCGCCTACAAGACGAAGAAAACTTGGAGCGTTGGAAGAAGATACTGAAAGACGAACCTGTTATACAAAGCACGGTTCCACCAAGAGCGAGCCAGCCATCCTTCCCATTTCTCTGGAAGAAGGTGACGATGTAGTGAGGGGACAGAGCTTTGTAGATCTGGGGGTAATGAATGACAATGTTGTAGAGCCCGATCAAAGGGGTGGTGATGAGCCAAATGGCCATTATAGGAGAGAAGACAAAGCTGACGCACTTTGTTCCAAATCTCTGGAGCAAGAACAAGGCGACGAGAACAGCAGCTGAGAGCCAAACCACAGTAGCTGTAGACGAAAAAAAAAGGTATCAAATCAGAAAAGCGAGAGAGCAGAATCCAAAACAAGCAATGCAAAGACAAAGCAACGACTGGACTCACATTGGTTTATTTTCGGTGTGGCTGTGGCGATTCCAGCCATGGCTGACAACACTGTAGAACATAAACTTGAGAGTTTGAAAGCTAAACATAAGAACCATACCCGAGACGGCAGGAGTAAGAATTCCATCGCCAATGAGCATGCAAGTCCCGAGCATGGCAACGAAGAGCAAGAGCCTCTGAGCGGACTTTCGCCTCTCAATGAAGCGTGCAAAGGCGGTTGGGCTCTCGGCCTCGTTGGTCTTGCTAAAGTGCGAGAGCTTGGAATCCGACAGCATTCGTCCATACTTGTGGCCCTTGATCGTCGTCTTCAAATGCTGGCAAAGGAGCGAGTAGAGCGCAAACGTTCCACCTATACGGTTCCAAGAGAAACGATCAAACTTTAAAGAGCTTTCCAAGAACAAGGAAAGAAAGTTGCGGAAGAAAAAAAAAAACCTTCGCCGTGATCGTCCGCATGGAGAACAATGAAGACGTACTTTGCGAGGCCGATGAGCGTGAGCGTCCAGAAGATGATGCTGAAAGTTCCCAGAAAATCCTCGCCCTGGGGCGACTTGAAATTCATGGTCGGGTAGACGTATAGAGGCGAAGTTCCCAGATCGCCATACACAACTCCCAGCGTCTGGTACGCCAGCGTAATCGTTTTCCACTGCCAAAATTCAAGTAGGTACAAAGAATGAATATGCATAGAACAAGAGATCTTCTCTCTCTCTCTCTCTCTCTCTCCACTCACCGATTTTACCCATCGCGTTGTGCTCGATTTTGGGTGGCTTTGATCCGATCCAGCGAGACCACCCGTCTCCAAATCCGTCGACATCGCTCCAGAAAAAATGACTGAATGAATGGATAGCAAAAAAAGAATAGAGGCAATGAATCCGGAGGCATGCAAGCGCTGGAGGAATGATTCTAGAGCCCAGGAATCAAATAACTTTCTGCTAGTTCGAGTGAATCACGACATGGAAGTGCTTGTCGCCGACTGCCCATTTTTTCTTGATCCCCTGAGCCAGAAAAAAGGGAACAAAAAAAAAACGTTCCTTTTTCTTTCCCGCGAGTGACGGCCACCAGGATTCCACGTTTTCTAAACGCAGCAAAACCATAGCAAACTTCTCGGGCCCGGGTCCTCGATCGAGAAAACGAAAGAGAGAGACAGAGAGAGAGAGCGACATCCAAGCTTGACAAAACTCCAAAGAGCACGAAAGAATGACGGGTCAAAAGCCTCCAGTCCAGGAGCACCACACATGAAATACGTCTCGCACTTGATTTGATTTGCTCGCTTGCTTTTCTGGAGAAAGACTGAACATTTCAGCTGCATCTGTGGAAAAAGGCACGACGAGCATGAATCATGAAAAGCCGGCAGAGCTTTCCTTTGTGAATTATTCTGTGTTGGTTTTATCAAAAATGTCTCTGCTTGGAGATTCCAGCTAGAACTTCTTGGTTCTCTTCTTCTTCTCCTTCTTTCGCTTTCTCTGGGACGGCAACTCCAGTTTTTCTCGTCTCTCGATCCCGAGTTTCTTCGCGGCGTTTTATGGCTCGTACAGCCACTTCTCGGAATCAAGGCCGTAGTCGACCAGTTCCTCCGGTTTAAACCACAAGTTTATCTCGTTCTTTGCGGTTTCCGGCCCGTCGCTTCCGTGAATGATGTTCCTGTAGTTTGAGTGAAGAACTCAACTCTAGAAGAGAGAGAAAAAATATAATAAAAGAGCTCGCTACCTTCCAACGGAGATCGCCAGATCACCGCGAATTGTTCCAGGTTCCGAGTTGTGTGGACTTGTAGCTCCAATGAGTTTCCTTCCGTATTTTACCACTCCTTGACCTTCCCATACCTGGAAGAATAGTTGCGGTCAATGAAAATAAAAGCCGAAAAGCTCACCATGGCAACTACTGGACCCGAGCTCAGGAAATCGCAGAGTCCATTGAAAAATGGACGCTCCTTAAGATCATCGTAGTGGAGCATAGCGAACTCCTTGGTAGGAGTCAGGATTTTGATTGCCACGAGCTTGTAGCCCTTCCTCTCGAAACGAGAAATTATCTCGGAAATCTGGGGAAAACAAAAGAAAAATAAAGTGGAAAACGACGATAAAGTTGATCAAACTGAAAAGCAGCTTTTTCAAAGTTCTTCAAAGAAAGAAAAAAACTTACCAGACCCCTTTGTACTCCGTCCGGCTTGATAGCAATAAAAGTTCGCTCAATCTGTCAATGAAAAACAAAGAAAAAATCGAAAGCAAACATTGTAAACTCCTTTCCCGAACTAGTGAAAAAACACAAATACCTCTGCAGCGTGCACAGTTGAAACCGCGGATGCCAGCACTGCTTACAAAAAGGAAGAAGTGAGAACTATAGATTGTCTCAAAGAAAACAATTCTTGCCAGGATAAAGTTCCTCTAGATCTTACCAGCAGCTGGAAGAGCAGCCGCAGCTAAAAGCCATTTCGCGCTTGCCGTGCTCTCGTGAGTAGCACGAGCAGCAAAACTTAGCACGGACTGAGGAACTCCTTTGCAAATCGCGGCACTTCCAAAAGCTCTCCCATCTTAAAGGCAAGTAAAAAAACGACGAAGATAAACAATAATTCCGTGTGAGACGCTACTGTGAAGCAAATCGAGCTAACCTAGCCCAGAAATCTGGCCAAAAAGCTCAAGCACAGCTCTCCAGATCCCGCATTCCACTCGCAGCACGAAAGCATTACCCCTCCCAGATCTATCAGATCTAAAAACCTCCATTCCAGATCTAGATCGATTGTACCTTTGAGAGAAAGAGCCCGCGTCGATCTAGCCGATCCAAATGCCCTCCTCGCCACACCGGCAAAGAATTTGCTCCTCATTGCTGCTGGAAAAATGCCTAGAAAGTTTGGACTCCTGTCCGAAAAGAAGACCAAATCCTCCTCCAAATGGACGGCCACGTTTCCTTTGACCAAATTTGACCATTACCCGTTTACTAACCTTGACCGCCATATCGAGAATCGAACCCCAGCTCTGCTCTTTAGCGTTGACCTGCGACGACCGCGCAAGGACACCGCGAAATACGGAATCCGTAGCCCAGGAGCGTATCTACCCAGGCAAAAGAACATAACGAATACAACACTTGCGTGGATACAAAAGCGTACAATCTGGTCGTGTTGTGTACATGCAATACGATAGAAAATTTAATACAAAATATTTCTACTCTTTCCAACCATGTCCTGGCACTGACAGTGGCCTCTGTAAAGAAGCTCATATGACGCTCCACCGACCCCTCACATTCATAATATACACTCCTTTTGTCAGGTTGGCAGCACAGAGCCCACTAACGGAGATAGCTTAGAATTAGGGTTAGGGCTCTGTTTCGCGCGTAAATTTGGGGCAGTTGGCTTTGGATTTGCGAGAGAAATGGCGAGAGCGGCAGTGGTGCTGGGTGTGGCGATCGCGCTGTTGTTTTGCTCGATCCATGGCGCTCGCGCTTGGTCCGCGAGCTGCTCGGATCCCTTCTTCAAGGCCTGCTATGGCGTCGTCCACAAATGCCCCGCGGGATGCCCCAAGGCGTGCCAGGTCGATTGCAAGTTTTGCAAGCCGATTTGCGGTGGGTCTTCTAACCGTCACGAATCCCTCTCTCTGGTGCTCTCACGAACTTGATCTCGTTTCTCTCGTCTGTGTGGCCCATTCGATTCGATTGAGGTGATCCAGCGTGTGACAAGCCGGGAGCGGTGTGCCAGGACCCACGATTCATCGGCGGCGACGGGATAATGTTCTACTTCCACGGCAAGAAGGACAAGGATTTCTGCCTGGTCTCGGACAGAGATCTCCACATCAATGCGCACTTCATCGGCAAGAACAGGGCCGGATCCACGCGCGATTTCACCTGGGTCCAGGCGCTCGGGATCATGTTTGGCAGCCACAAGCTCTACGTGGGCGCCAAGAGGGCCTCGATCTGGGACGATTCCGTGGATCACATTTCCATAGCGCTGGACGAGAGCCCAGTCCTCGTCCCGGCGGGGCAGGGCTCGGCGGTGGAGTTCCCCTCTGCTGGGGACCTCAAGATCTCGCGCATCGCGCTCGCCAATGCCATCGCGGTGGAGAGGCCCGGGAGCTTCCGCGCGGTGGTGAGGGTGGTGCCCATCACCGCGGAGGAATCGCGCGTCCACCGCTACGACATCACGGCCGACGATTGCTTCGCGCACCTCGAGGTGAATTTCAAGTTTGGGGATCTGTCGCGCGACGTGCACGGGGTGCTCGGCCAGACGTACGCGGCGGGGTTCCGGAGCCGGGTGAAGATCGGCGTCGCCATGCCCGTCATGGGCGGGGAGAAGCGATTCGCGGTGTCATCGCTCTTCAACTCCGATTGCGAGGTGTCGCGGTTCCAGGAATCCACAGCGCAGCTTGGTGCCGGCGAGGATGTGATTGAGATGAAGAGCAAGGCAGGGATGGCTCTGCCGTCAATGGAGTGTCACAGCGGGGATGGAAGCAGGGGAATGGTGTGCCGGCGCTAGAGTTAGTAAACGGCATAAAGTATATTCTGTGCTATGTTTCGTTTCTCTTTCTTACTTTCGGTTTGCTTAGGCAAACCACTCAATAACATTAGTTAACATTAGTTTAAGAAATAAATAAACTCAAGTAAAGCTCAGTTTGAGTTGTTATTAACTAAAACTTTCTAATGTCGCGTTCGTTTTCTAGAATATTATATGCTTGCAATCAATATTTGAAGTGGCTTACATTAAAATACGTTTCAAATGGTATTGTTTGTACTTATTTTCTTGTTAATTTTAATAATAAAAAGGGTTACTTAAACTCTGATTCTGGAATATTCACTTGGCAAATAGAGGCAAATATGTGAGGTTGGCAGAAAAAAGAGGACCAGCTGAGGAAGAAGGAGGGCCGGCTGAGAAGAAAAGCTTATCTTACTCAAATGTTTGGTCTTGGCTTGTTCATCCATTGCTGACAAATTTTGTTTTTGCAGCGCCCCCTGCCATTTACTTACGTGTGCTTCCTTGTGGATCTGGTGTACTGACGAATCGTTACTTGTGTATTCTTGCCTTTCTATGTGTTCGTTCAAAGCTTAATTGTTTGATCTTGTTGATGCTGCTGCTGGATCGCTACAATGCCGTCCATCGAGATGTGCAAGCTCTCTTGGACAAGTATGGAACCAAATACATAGAGCAGATCAAGTACTTCCTAAGCCGGCATCGTTGAGTGGGAGACACCCATTAAAGCTAGAGGACGGGAGGACAGGCTTTCTACTCTTTGGCGTTGGGAAGTGATTTTAAGGCCAGCTTTCCAGACGTTTGCAAAAGGGACGGTTTTCCAAGCTCCCGACAGTCCTAAACCTTGCCTTCCTGGCATTGCCTGCCTCCAAATACATTCTGGATCAAGTGGATATAACACACCCTGGCCTGGTGGTACTTTTCGATGTTTCTGGCCCTGGAAAGGCTCAGGTTGCAGTGGACCGTTTGCCTCTGTATTTTGTTCCTATGGGACGGATTGGAATGGAGGGCTCCGCAGACTTAGATGCCGCTAATGGTTCTGTATCCAGGAAACCAGTCAATTCCGATGCACGTGACATGGTGCTGCTTCAAAGCTGTTCTCCTCAGCAGATTCTTCATCCTAGACAAGTTGAAGGAGGTAGCACAGGGGGGTAGAATGCACAATTCAGTGAGGAGTGGGCGTGGCAAAAGGGTAGTTACGTAAGAGAGGGGAGTGATATGCATTTGTCCCTAACAAGAAGCATGCCACTTCAGGTTTGGGCCAAATACTGGTTGTTTAAGTAGGTTGGATTTCACTTCCTGGCAGAACTAAGTGAGCTATTGTATCCATTACAGACAAGAATCCCCGAGCTGACCGTGTGGCGAGAGATGGCGTTCTAAATGTTAAACTACATGAGTTAATATCCAGTGACTGTGGGATCGAAGAGGTATTTGATCGTTTGATTAAGACGGACGACGAATGCCAGGTGGTGCAGGACAACTTGGTTAATAGGTTTGATTCACCTGTCAAGAACAAGATCTCTTTTGGATGTGTTTTTAGCGTTGTTTGATGGCTGGGTTTCGCACAAGCATGTTCTACTATTCTGGTGAAACACAAAACCCATCTTATATAGCTGGAAGACCCTGTGAAAATCCACCTGTGATGTATCTTTAAGGATCCGACTAGCATAATCCTTCAGGTCGGCCTCCTCATAAAATCCCCCAAAGTAGCATAAACACTGCAATTAAAATCGTTTATTCCTGAAAAGTTACCGCAGCAAAGCAACTGCTTACTTTGTTGAATACGAGAGTACAGGCCAATGGCAGTTAACACTTTGGGACGGAGTTCGCCATTTCCTACAAAAGTGTGTAGGACTTTTTTAGGAAGCATGTCAAGAGGGTTTGATTCAATACGGACTTGCAAGGTTGCATGCCCGTGGAACGCTTGAAATGCAAGATTTGGATTCTTCGACGGAAGGGTCAGACACAGCAAACGTTCTACTGCGTATTGAGGAGCCTCTTGTTCTCCATTTTTTGTGGCACTATTTAGAAGTTGGCGAACCATCAGGCTTATAGAGTATAGCTGATACTGCTTATGGTTATAACGCCCAGTCAAGAAGCAGCGGAATTGGGGACGGATACGAAATGATTGCAGTGGAGATGATTGCAAAAGCAATGGATGGGATGCAACCTGCAAATTTGATCTCTAGGTTTCTTCAAGATGATGTGTACACGGTCACTTCACATGAGCTAGAGATTCCAGCCAAGATTGTGAAACCAAGGATCCACAGTGAACAGATGGCGCAGATGAGACACAAGGCTCGAATGTGCATGCTGTCAGCACCGGATTTGGGTCAGACGCCTGTTTTTCTTAGATATGTCAGGTGAGAGTTCCTAGGGAGATCGTGGCTAAGTCTCAGAGACTGACACTGCTTCGCAGCAGCAACACCCGATGACCCTTATTCCTGTTCTTGTGCAAGTTAAGACAAGTAAGACACTTTACCAGGTAATGTAATTTGAAGTTTTCCTTTTATTGTAGGGTAGTGCTTTTTATACCTTGGATCTGAACAAGTTTTCCCAACACAAGAGTACATTGAAGTAGCTGATGCTAACGAGAGTTATCTTGTAATGGGTGTATTAAACTCTTGGTTTCTACAGACTTTGTCATTCTGGTGTAACCTCTATTTGAGGGAGGAAAGTCAAGTTTCTATTAGAAGAGGTGAAAAGAAAATGAAAGTGGATCCCAGCATAAAACCCTTGCTTAATGGCTTTGTTGATTCATGGTTGGATGTTTGTTCATAAAGATGCCATTTGAGTAATGATTAAAAATTAAACAAAAACACCATTTTTCTTTTCCCTCTGTGAAGACTGTTATCTATTCTAAGTTGTGGCAACAAGGTGGTGTGCACGTGAAAGAATGCTTTTCAAGAAAGGAGTTTCCAATAAAGTAAATGAGACTGAAAATCTTTTTGCTGAATGTTTTGAATATCACGCTAGTGGATCTTCTGGGATTGACAAGTGTTATAGTTGGTTTCTGGTGCATTGCAGCCTGCAAAAATTTCATGATGATCAACTATTAGACATAGAAAATAGCATCAAAACAATGATCTTATTATATATCATGCAAGCATGTGATATTCATTAATTTGTCTTATTTGTCAAGAATTTTTTCGACAAAAGAAGAGTTGACATCTTGCCACTACATCAATTTTATAATTTTTTTAATCAATTTTGTGGAGGGGAAATCACCACCTTTTAGTCCCATCAATACTGTGGAGGGAAATCACCACACCTTTTAGTCTTATTTACAATCTTTTATTTATATCATAAACTTTAGTGTTTAATTGACTAGCTTAGGTATTTTCTTAGTGATTGTATTTGAAAGTGTGCTTCTCACCTTTTGAGTTGGTTGCAAATTTCCATCAAGGATATCCATTTAAGTTTAATCCTACACCACATAAGAGGATGATGTTATGTATTTGTTATCTCTTGTAAATCTTTGCTCATATGATTTAAATTCAAGACCTATAAAGACTCTAAAATAGTTTGAGGACTTTGTACTTAAGAGTGTTCAAATTTTTTCTTCTTTATTTTTTTTGTTTTTTATTAATAATTTCATCATCTCAATATAATTTGGTTTTATGAGGTTAGACTAGGGCAAACTTATGAGTTAAAGTGTTTATCTTGTTCTCAAGTAAATTTATGAGTATAGGATTTTTTTGGAACAGATTGTTTAAGTTAGTAATTTGGATTGCTTATTCAGAGTTTTGGGTTTTTTTCCAAGAGGCTGCCATTTATTAATGAGGAATTTGCCTTTTTAGTTCATAATTATAAAGGGGTTTAGTTTTACTAAATGATCAATCAATGTGTTTGCAAGTGGAGATTATAAAAGCTGAACATCTAGATATGAGGTCTTTTACAAACTTGTCATTTATCTCTTTGATTGTGATGTTTATAATCAAGAATATTTTTCTTAGTAATTCTATAAAACATTTACCATTATATAGTTTATGACATTCTCTATATATTCCTTTGGTGAAAATTAAAGAATCAAGAAAATAAAATTTTAATTCTAGAAATAACAATCTATCTCTTATTGTGGTGATTATTACTATACCACTACCACTATATTGAGGAAATAAGAAACTGCAGAAACACAAAATAATAGAAAATATTTATTGCATTTTACAAGATCTAAGTTGTAAGCAACTAAAGAGAGGTTTTTTATTAAAACTATAAATTTTTTAATTGGTTAAAGATCATTAGATATATAAAATAAAGTATCTTTAAAGTTGAGTAGTACTAGGTTATATGACTTCCTGAAAAGTCTAAATTCAAAAACTTACACAATCCTTATGTAAAAAGTGACTCAAGCCTTAATATTATTTATCTATCACTATATTTAGATTTATTATTTTCATTCATGTTGCAAATATAACTTCGAGTATCAAAAGATACTTATCAACCGATCTTTATAGATACTCTCTCTTTACTGCTATAATAGTAGGAGGTTGGTATTGTTGGTTCCCTTTATAATCTCTTCTTAAGCTAATTGAGAAACTAAAACCAAAAGGACACTAAAAAATGATAAGTTGTCATTAAATCAAGTATACTTAGCATAGTGATGAGAATTTTATATTGTTGACTTGCACTTGTTAGTGTTGAGAACCCACTCAATATTAAAACTAATTCCTCAATATTGCAAGAGGTTTTAATGTATAGTAGAAATAATAGTTAGATTGTATAGCCAACCACTTGAGATATTAATTTCCTACTAGGTTATATCACTTTTTGTTCTACATCTAGTTTGGGTCTAAGCCCAAGCTCCATGCTATTTTAGTCAGTGGGGTATTTTCATTTTTGTTTTAAGCCACTAGTATGCCGAAATTGTGTTAAATACCGTTTGACATTATTTTGTATGTAAGAGCTAAATACGGGGAGCTAGTATTTGTAAGGGATATTTAGTGCATACTCGAATCCTTGTTTCGTAGTGCAATAAGCTTAGAGTTCAACTTTAATTTTAAGTGTGTTACATTTGGTATTAAAGGAATTATCTTAGTGATTCCTATTCATTTTTTGTTAAAGTTTTAACTATAGTTGCATGCATAGAGACTTTTCTAATAGATCCAAAGCAACCCATGTAAGATTGGTTGGATTGCATGGCTGACCACTTGAGATATTAATTTG